GTATCATCAATGGGCATTTATCAGGATTGTATGATTTTGCAATCCATCTGAATACGGAACCAGAATTTGTTTTCCTTCCGTTTCACTATGTAATTACCATGCAACAATAACAAAAGTGACATGTTTGAAGAACAGATAAAATGCTGTAAATTGGCCAGTAATGGTGATATTTCCTCATCTTCTGAAAAACCCATTTATTCTCTCTCTCAACAAATCAAGGCACTGTCAGCCCACACTCATCTTCTGGCTCGAGGGGCTCCCCCCGCATCTCTAGCTGCGAGCGAGTCCTGGAATGCAGATGAGGGCGCCTAAAGAAGGCTTTCAGCACGGGCAGCTGGTCCTCGCTTGCCTCAATTTCTAAATCATCCATAATGGGGCCAAGACCTCCCAAGCACTAAAAAGAGAGAGCTGACATGCTGGACAAACTGTTAATTTTTTCCTGAAGAAGCTGCTATATTGCACATCTGTCACTGCGTGCAGACAATTACTCACGGAGCGGGGGGGAATCTGCTTGTTTCTGGCTGACTTGTTGGGGGACTGGACGGAGAAACACAATGCCATGGGAGCCAAACCGGGCTGGCTTCCTGGCTGCTCGGCGAGTGTGCCCTCATTTTGGGAGGCTCAAGACCCAAGCCTCACAGAATACGGACCGCTGTACTCACGGCGGAGGACCCACACACCAGAGCCACGGGATTAGAACTACTGTAGCTTTACACTTCAAATTTCACACCTTTAATCTGTGCTCCCAAGTGCTTCACACCCCTTTAAAATTTATTTTGTGAATCCCATACCTCAGACATGCAATGTGGGTTATCTACAGTTTTCATAATGAATTATAGCCATCAACAGAGAAGTTTAGAATTACAGATTAGCCAGGTGGCCTCCTTAACCCTCCCCCCGTAAATTTATTGGCTCATGATAACTACGAAATTCTGGCATTTGAGGAAATTCACCCCAATAAGGGAAATAATTTGCTTGCTTTTGGAAAGCATATTTTTAAGTACATAATGTTAGCATACTATTTCTCATCCTTTCTGCTTTTATTAAAGAATGCTGTCTTCGTAAAGAAATGTGTTCATTTCTTTGAAATTTAATAGGAAGATGAAAACAGGTAGAAAATAGTTTTGGGTGTATTCATAATACAGTCTTGTCACTCCCATCTTATAGCTGAAAAGTCAATATACACAAGTTTAAAACGCTAGTGATGTATTTTGAGAATTCAAACTAAGAAAAAAAAAGATGCCAAAAGAAACACAAAAATAGCCTTCAATTGTTACCTGACTTCATCCTTGAAAGATTAAGGAGTAAACACAGGACATTCTGATAGATAATGCCACAGGAGCGAGGTCTGTGAATCTGAGGTTGATTTAAACTGTCTGACAATTCAAAGACAGAAGACAACTCTAATGTACAGATAAAAGGAACGTGACAATAGTAGATCATACTCCTGGCAGTTAATGGCACTGACTCTCTAAGACAAATCTGGACCTACTTAAAATGTCAGGTGTGTAAAGTAATGAGTCTTTGCTTAGTAGGAACCCGGCATAAGGAGCCTTCATGGTCCATTTGTCAGTTGAGTATATGTTACAGCAAGCCTGTTAAATAAAATGAGTATTTAATACCTATTGGAATAAAACAAAACAAAACAAAACAAAACAACTCACACTCTAACAAGTTCACTTAATTTCTGGGAGAAAAGGTAAAATTTGAGATGCTTCTTAGAGCAAACAAAACTCAACACTTTCATGAGTATTACAAAATATTAAAAATAGTCAAGCATGTGCATGAGAGTTAGGCTGTGATATTTCAAGTGGCTAGAGAGAGAACGTACTTTAGAATTATAGAGTCTCTGAATGGAAAGAGACCGTAAGCCAATTTCAGAGAAAATAAAAACAGGGAAATGTGGTAGAACAGGTCACGATCAGCTGTGAATAAATCTGAGCCAAAATTGTTTAGCAATTCTTTTCTCTAAAAATTTTTGACATAAATTTTAACAATGAATTTAACTGCACTGTGAAATGTCAATTGTCAGCAGGTAGCAATTAAAAAAATTTTTTAAGAACTTTCAACTTTATTTTTTATTACTTCAAGGTACGAGGAAAACATTTAAAGCACGGACAATGACTGCTCATAAATAACATTCTTAAGCATTATGTTTATTCTTTCATTTTTTTGTGGTACTATTAATATAGTTTTCTACCGAAAGAAAAAAAATCTAAAAAAAAAAAAAAAATCCAAAATATTCCTTGCTAAACAACTTCATTTTATAATACCAATTTAGATTTTTTTTTTTTAGAAAGGCAAAGTACAGGAGGAAATTGTTTTAAAAAGCATGCCAATGGTAACTTTTTTCCTTTCTTGAAATATCTGCTCAAAATGAAAATATACTGAAGAGAAGCGATTGCCAGTTCGATGAATTACAAGAATATCAATGCGCAATGTTAAAATAGGCATATTAACAAAATACTTGGCAGCCATGTATACTGCACACTTCTGTGCCCTATAAACACTCCTCTATGTGTATACATTATGTTTATCTTCAACCCTACTGTCTTAACTTCTGCTTGATAGCCACGGTATGAGTTATAAGATCTATGTACAAATGTTGAGACCAATTAATTCGTAATTTTTAGTTAGCAATGGATTTTCTTTTCAAGAGGTACCATATAATTTAACAACGAAAGCAACGAATTTGAGGGGAACGTAGTCTTTAAAACTGTATTTGAGGAGGAGGAAAGAAGGAAGGAGGGAAGGAAGGGAGGGAGGAAGGAAATCACCCTAGAACAGAGCGTGGTCAGTATCAAGAACAAGTATATAAAGACAAAACGTCGAATTGCTCATTTTGAGAGATGTACGCACTCCTGGTGAACGTGTGGAGCGTGGGGGAAGTTTGCGTGTTGCTGCTTCTCTGCCTTGACTAGTGATTCATGCATGCTGTGTAGTTAGATACTTCTAGAGAATAAGACATATTTTCAGTCCCCTGCTCTAGATACCAAGATTGAGAACTTTCTTCTGTTAGCTGAAAATATTAAGATGAATTATTATGGGGGGAGGTGTTAGAGAACCACGCCCAAGTTCAGTGAACATCCTAGAGGCCTTGCTTCAGATGAGTACCCGTCCAGCAGAACGATGACAAGTTTTCATGAACACTGTAGTCTCTAAGGCAGGGGTCCCCCGTGCCAGGTGGCCGGCTCTGTTCCACTCTTTCTCACCGTGAGGGTTAGAAAGGAAGTGAGAAAGAGCAGCCAAGCCCTCAGGAGTTTGGCGTCGGTCTCACAGGAACCTCGTTGTTGGTTATTAGCGGCTCCAAATTTGGCTTTTCAAAATTCTAGGATTTTAACAAAATAATGTTGAATGTCAACTGCAATCGAAAAATCAAAGAAAGGCGGGGAAATGTGAAGGGGGGTAAGAGGTTCATATTTCCAGCTATAACACAAATAAGTCACGGGCCGCTGGTGCTCGGCACAGGGAACACGGTCAATAACATCGAGACGGCGCTGTGCAGTGTCCGATGGTGGCTGGGCTTATCATGCGGGTCACTTCTTTAGGTATGTAAATGTTAGATAACTATCGTTTACACCTGAAACTACGACAACATTGTGCATTAGCTACATTTTAATAAATTGAAAAAAAATTCTAGGATTTTAGAAGATCTTCAAGTTTTCAGAAAACACTGGAATTTAAAAGGTCTTTTGAACAGACACTAGAGCACTATAATCGACCTTAGAGAAGTTTTAAACCAGCATATATCAGTCTCCCCCAGCTTTTTCCCTTACCTCATGAGAATTAGCTTATTTAACAGAAAGCATTTTTTTCTTTTTAATGGCACATTTCTAAGTAACAAACTGATAGAAAATAATTGTACAGCAGGGTTACCTTACCCAAGAAGAATGCTTCAAAAGACCAGCTCAGCCGGTGGCCCACGGTCCCTCTAACTAACCTATCCTCACCACAGTAATGTGAAGAAAAGAGGCAACTCTTGAAACGGATACATCTGCACATCATCAAGGCTATCAAGTAGCAGGCTGCCTTTCCTCTCCCTCGTTAGCAGTGTTTTCTTTAGGGGACCAGCCGGGGAAGGTCTGTGACACACACAAACCTCCTCTCCCCACTTTAAAAGCTCTTGGGGGTTTTACAAATCTTCCAAAACCTATTACGGTGCAGCACCGAGGAATTACTGCCCGATCCGCTTGTCCGAGCCCGCAGACTGGACACCCCCACGAGTGAACGGCAGTGTGAGCTGTGGACTGGGGGATGATGCGTCTGTGTGGTTTCATTAGCTGGAACACAGGCACCTCTCGGTGGGGGACGTTGACAGTGGGGGCGGGGAGCAGTACATGTGTGAGGGCAGGGGGTCGAGGAGAAATCTCTGTACTTTTACCTTACTTTTGAAGTGAACATAAAACCGCTCTAAAAAAAAAAAAAAGCAAAGTCTTAAAAAAACATTATCAAGGTGATTCGCATGTGTTATGTTGGCCTTTACTCAACCAATAGGGGCCATTACAAATGGAATATGATTATCAGTCCTTAAGAATGAAGGTGATAACGAGTCGGCAACTTTTCATCACTGAGATTACGAAGCAGGTGGTTCAGAAATAACAAAGCGGGCACGCAATAAGAACGACCTGCTCCGCTCGGTTTTAAGGTAACCGCTTCGATGCTAGAACGCGCAGATCAGTACCTTCCGTTTTTGTCCGCCTGGCACCTGGGCTAGATCACTGCCCGAAATCTGAATTCTTGGGAGAGCTACTTAAACCCTCAAATAAATTGATTCGATATTCTAACTTACACCAATGGTTAAAATTTAAAATCAGTTTACTACAGTTGAGTTGATCTAAAAACAAAAGTTAGCCTTTGGGAAGAGAGAGAGAGGTAGAAGTTAGAGGTCTAGATTAATAGAATTTACAGTTTGGTCATGATGAATTTAAAAAGTTACATTTTTCTTCCAATAATTATTTTACGTTCTAAATGAGGTAAAATGTATAAAATAGGCACTAAAGTAATGTATCGCTCTGGGGATAATAATGACGAGGTTTATTTGTGTCAAAACGCCAGACGGAAGCAGTGATTGGGGTTTGTCAGCAGCGGGCTTTGGACCCCATTGTCCAAGGATGGAAAGTTGATGGGTATCAGCCCATCGGAGAATCCTCGTAAAAAAAAAAAGAAAGGCCCAATTCAAGCAATGTGAAGTCGGCAAGACTTTCGAGCAAAGACTCGCGTAGGGCTTCGCCGATGCCACGATGGGCCTTTCGGTTGCCGCACGTGGGGATGACACAAAACGCAGCTCTTCCCGGAGTACCCTAAATCAGAAGCCCGTGGGCGTGCTCACGTGTGCCTGGGGCTGCCCACGCGCACCCGGATGAATCAAGCTAAAGCATTAGACGCTATTGACATATGCGATCAAAATAAATAAGAGAAATGAGCTGTTTTGTTTTTGTATCTAGGTACAGCGGAAAATTGCTGAAAAAATTTTAAAAGGTAAAGGTTTGTACTTGAGCACCACGAACTGCGACAAAATCCCGTCTCTATCGCTGTAGCAAGACCGAATGCAGTGAGGAAGCTAGAGTGGCAAGCTCGAGGCGATGCAGATCTCGGCTTCAAAAACAGAAGCGATGCTGTGATTTTCTAGAACGACGGGATACAGAGAGTGAATGAAAACTATAGGACCTTTCGTCTTTGCTTTTCTTCCTAGGTGGATTTTCCTGAAGCGGAGGTGGTGGCCGCAGGAGTGCTTTTTGGTAGAGGGTATCCAAGTCCTAATCCTTTTGGCCTCTGCATGGCCTGAACGGGCTCAGCGATCCCCTTGCCATCACGTCCAAGGCCTGAGCCAGGCGTCCAGCCCATATTCTGGAGCATTCGGTTTCCAATGTTGTTTTCTAGGATGGGCTGGGCATTTTCTCCTACAAGCCCTGAAATTGCAAAACGACAAGAGACGATTAGTTGGGACACAGGCGAAGACAGATCCTCTCAGGCTAAGAGACCATGCTCTTTTATGTTTTTCTTTCAAAAAGGCACCTGGGAGGGTCGTTTATTCACCTTTGCATAAGAAGCTTGCTGCAGTACAGGGGTCAAGGGGGGAAAGACCTCGCTTACAGTTTCAGCTCTACTACTTAGTAGCTGATTAAGTTATTTGATCTCCTGGGCTTGTTTTTTCATGTCTGAAAATCAGGTGTAAAAGAACGCACACTGCCTACCTCACGGGAAGTTGTAAGGATCAGATGACATCACGTATGGAAAGAGAGTTCTCAGTAAATGACAAAGCACTTTACAAAGGCAATTCTTTTCTTTACCGTATCAGCCTCACGGATAATTCTGAGCATCACCCATGTACACTATAACGTCTCACACTGATCCAGGACCTTGACATTCAAAACTGAAACTAGGACCAAAGTGAACAAAAAGCCCAATTGATGGCATCCTTAACTCCTAAGACTTGTTGACTTTGCTATAACGTTCTTCTCGTTATTTATTATTCAGTCTGTAACATGTGTACCCTTTAATTCTCTTCCTTCTCCTTTTTCCGTTTCTATGTTTTAATGACTGGAGCAGGACATAAAGAGGGAAAGACGGAAAAGACGAGTAAAGTTATTTATAGCACTGTATATAAACAGTCCTTCTTTACCTCCCTCCCTCTCCTCCTACCTACCTTCGTTCCTTATTTGGGAAAAAGAGATTGGCTAGGGCTTCTCATGATTAATTAAGAAATAACTGTCGTTTCCCTGATTTCCTTAGCAGAGACTGAGAAGCGTCTATTTTAGGCATTTTGTATTTGATGACATTTTCAAAGACCGATTTTTAATTTAAACTTTCTCGTAGGCTCTTACGGGGAAAGCAGAGCATATATACTGTGTATGTGATTCTGGGAGAAATGTACTAAATATCTAACGATTCTTTTCCTTACCGTATCAGCCTTACATGCAGTCCTATCATCTGACAGCAAAAGATCAAGAAACCAATAAATGTGGTAAAAGTCAAGGAGTCACGAGAACCTGAGCTCTTGCCTTCAACGGCGGGCGTGGCCCTGGCCCGTCTGTCTCAGCTCGGTAGAGACCCGCTCTGTGGTCGGTCCGTTTCTGCTCATCCTCTAGAAACAGCTATTAGATTACGGTGTCTGAAAAGGGGGTATGGCAAATCTGGAGGTAACCGGACATACGCAATCTGAACTCCCAATTACCAGAGCATTTTGTGTGGTTACTCTACTTGCAGAAGAAAGAAGTAATTACCAGGCAAACTAATATTAAAAGTTCTGCAGGAAAAAAAGGATGAGGGTATCTTAAAACAACCTTTGTTTTAGTGAGAACACATTCAGCCTGAGCTATACCAAGGCTTCTTCCCAAGGTCACAGACGTACCGGGACGTAGTGCATGCCCACCACTCCCTCCCTAGGCCTCCGAGCATAAATACACCTCGCCTTTCAGAGAGGTGCAGGGTCCCCGAGGTATACCAGCTAGTCCTCAGGCCTGTGTCCTGGGCCCAGCCTACTTCTGCTCTGAAATGTGGGCTGTGTCTTCCTAGACAGTTTGAGTGCTGCAACGGGCAGTTGTTGACAAAAATCACTCATTACTCTCGAAGCCTCGCTAGTTAGATGTCTCTTTGGCACCCACTCATATCCCCATTCTGCCTGGTTTCTATCGTCATCATCATCGTCATCATCATCGATTTCTCCTCCCTGAGTCAGGGTTATGACTACATGTAAGGCTGGGACTCTCTGTCCTCTTCCTTCTCTAAGGCTGTGTTTCAGACTGTGATACAAGGCACAGAAGGACCCTCAAGCACCAATAACGATGACAAAAATATTACCCGTGGGACCGCAGAGTATATAGCATTCTATTTCTTGACCTGGGTGGTGGTTACTCAAAGTTTATTACTATTCTTTAAACTGTGCGTTTCCATTTGTTCTCTGGCATATGCATTTCATGGGAAAAAATAAAATAGAACAATTGTCAGGGTTGAACCAATAGTATATCTTATCTGGAAATCTGTACCTGGCCTTCTGGGGAATAGCAAGTGGGCTGTTTCTCATGATTTCAACTTATAGACGAAGAAAACTGCACAGTGCTAGGGGTGGGTTTTAATAAGTGGCGCTTTTATTTACCATGGAGTCATCCTCAGCTGATTTTCAAAGCTCTTTATTGAACACTGTGGTGGCTGCAGTCTTCACTGTGCTCAGTTCATTACAGGGAGTATGAACGAGGCCGCCACAATAACGAGTTGGTTTCGGACGTGTCACACTGGCTCTTAGCTCACTGAAAGTGTCGTTAATGTGTGACAGACAAAAGCCTTCAACTGCAAACCGCCTGAATGGCAACGACTAATATCAAAGAAAAATTCTTGACTTATATTAGACTGCCTGACAAGGTCACAATGTGTAAGAAATAAAAATGCAAAAAATAAACCTCTTAGTTATAAAAAAAAAAAATAGTAAATAAGAGCCTCATGTCAAAACACTTCCTTAACATAATTAACAAAAAAAAAGCCAATAAAATTTTATTTTGAAATTATCATTATGGTGGTGACCAGGACAGACCTCCAAGGTATCTAATTTTTTACAGCTGCTGAGCAGGTATGTTAGGTGAAGCTGCCCCATCTGCCTGATTTTTTACTGAGTGCCATGATTTACGTTAATTCCATCTATAAGCTAAAATGCTGCTCTAGGCCACGCATCTGTTTCATCATATTTTCGATACAAGGGCTTGCAAAAGTTCATTCTTAAAATGTGTTTAATATTTAAGAAAAAAAATATAAGGCCAATTTAAAACATCCCTTCAAAAAAATGCTAAGTCGTGGTAAGTTTTCCGTTCTAAAATGAACAACAAATGATAACTCACTCACTACCATCATTTTAAAATGTTGATATTTCAGGCACGATGGGCCAGGAGCAGCCACCCTACTCCCTCCCGTGCTTGTGTTTCTGTAGAGGTGGAAAAGAATTCATTCTCTCTCTCTTTATTAAATGCTGGTTTCATTTCTCTTCTTAATGAAAATAAAGTTATATCTTTAAAGAGAAACAAAAAGAAAAAAAAAAAGGAGGAGGAACATTACATTTCTCAAACACTAAATCTTTCCACATAGAAACACATTCCTGAAAAAGCAAAACAAAAAAGCAATGGCTTTCTATACAACCTTAAAACACACACACACACACACACACATACACACACACACACAACGACAGCTACTGTATTTTTCATGACAAGTGATTCTAGAGTGAGATCAACTGTTGGTTGGTCTCTCATCCTTTTTTTCTTTATGAGATTAAGACATAGGAGGGAACAGCTCGGTCTCAGCGCAGCATACTACAACCATAATTTCCTTTTCTTCTGCTCCTGGCAGTGCTAAATCCTTTAAGTCTTTTCCTAGAAGGCTCTCCTCCTGCTCGGGCAATTTTAGCCCCACGAAGCCTGCTAACCCTTCCGCATGCTCCCGCTCGCAGCCCCCTTGATGCGGGATCTCTTATACCTATTACAGCTGAGTTGGTCCTTTCCCCTCAAATCTTCCCGAGTATTGCGGATAGTAATTCACTTGCGTAATTGGCTCAAGAGATGAAAATCTTGTATCAGCCTCTCTTAGCTGCTAATCTATCCAGCTGACTGCAAGCCTAATTGGCAGCTTGTTTAGTAATTTGGCTCCTAAAGTGTTGTATTGATGTTGGATAAACAGCCAATGGAAGGGGAGGTGACACACGCTGCTTCCTCCATAACAGCTAGTGCACTCCGATTCAGCCCCTACCCTGTATTCAGGAGGCATTCAGCGGTTCACGCTCGCTTTCTTCCATCATCTTTTCCCCATTACTAGCCAGCCGAGAGACAGGGCAACTGTTATTAGCGATGTTATCAAAATGGCAAGTTATAATATTGTCCTCTGTTCTCACTAATTCAGGAACATGGGTTTTTGATGACTGTTAAAGAAATAGCAATAAGCACGGCCTGAGATGTGAGAAAGGGGTAGGTGTTAACTACTTTTTGTCAAATGTTTTAATCATTCCATTCCTTAATAGAGAAAAGCCTCACTAATTCAGACCATTCTATATTTTATCTGCAATATCGCAGACATTTTCATGTAAATTTTGTTAAATAAAATCAGTTCGGATAGTTAGTGGCTTAAAAATACAAGGCACTTTGTTTCCGTGTAATGAAAATTTCATGTAAAACTAGCTTTTTCTTTTTTTCTTAAGCGACGAACAAGATGTGCAGAATGAGAGACATGGTCTGTGTTGACGTGTTTGGAAAAGGAGCGCTTTCATTTAACAGGTGATTTGGTTATCCATAAATATATTTCTTATGGAATGATTCTGTATCAAAGAATAGGGTTTTCAGAAAACTAAAAAAAAAAAGTCTCAATAGAATTGCATTGCTTCGGCAGGCATACAGGGATGTTTATTTGCTATAGTCTAATCAGAACATTTATGGTCTGCCTACTAAGTATCTGGCACATAGTTTCTTTGGTAGGCATGTGACGATCTCTATCTCCATTCCTTGTAACTACTGTGCCAGGCGGCAGTTACGACGGGCCTCAGAAAGATGGTGTAACTTGAGCAGGAGTGCACAGTGAGCACACATGCTAAGTCAAACTTTGGTTTCGGTTTACTGAAACCTACACTTTCCATTACCTGCATTGCCTCCCTATGAGAATTACTAGCAAACAAACCATTTCAGTAGAGCTTATGTTTCGAGCCATTAAAAAAATTTTAATTGGATTATATGTGAATTGTAATATTAACTTCTCTCAATCTGCATGTGGACAAGGCAGAGCGTACACACGCTGAAATACCTGGATAACCTAGCATATAATAATGTCTGCAGCTCTTAGAGATTACCAACGCTTTCATATCCGTATTTCTTCTGATCTTTCTTACCAGACTGAGAAGTTATCACTGGCTCCACTTTACAGGTAAACTTAGGATACCTGA